TCCTGGAGCTGATTGTTGGCTGAGTCCTTGCTATTTTGGCTATTCTTCTATCCATTCGAATGGTAGTTTTTCGCTTTCTTCCACGTCTTTCAGGTTTTGGTTGCCATTTTAAAGCATTTGGGATCATTTTAGCTGAGCAGCCTATCATTTTCTGCACTTCTTTATATGTTTTCCCCTCTCCAATCAACTTTTTAATCAAGGTACACTGTTCTTCTGAACAATGTCTGGAACGACCCATTTTCCTCCGAATTTCAGAGAGAAATGCAGTGTAACCAGCATGTACAACATTTGCTGCCTTCCTTCCTTAAATAAGGGCAATAATTGCACCTGTTTTTCAAAGAATGAATGACCTCACTAATAGAACTCCACACTGCTATTATTTTGAACAATTAAATTAGTGATTCAATTACACAGAATCAGCAGCATGCATGTCATGACTGTTGAGTCTGTTGGATTTCTATTATTCTACTACATCTGCTAGTAAAGTATTTGCCATGTAGAAATATTATTTCTACCAAAAACAGTGATTGATCAGGTTAGTGATGTCTGACTGCTATTATTTTGAACACAACTGTGTATAATATATATATATACAGTTGCAAGAAAAAGTATGTGAACCCTTTGGGAATACGTGGAGTTTTGCATGAATTGGGCATAAAATGTGCTCTGAACGTCATCTAAGTCACAACAATAAAAGAACACAGTCTGCTGAACATAATACTACACAAACATTAGATGTTGCCATGGTTTAATTGCACATAATGTGTAAACATTCACAGTGCAGGGAGGAAAAAGTATGTGAACCTTTGGACTTAATAACTGGTTGACCCTCCTTTGGCAGCAATAACCTCAACCAAACGTTTCCTGTAGTTGCAGATCAGACCTGCACAATGATCTGGAGTAATTTTGGACCACTCCTCTTCACAAAACTGTTTCAGTGTAGCAATATTCTTGGGATGTCTGGTGTGAATCGCTCTCTTAAAGTCATGCCACAGCATTTCAATCGGGTTGAGGTCAGGACTCTGACTGGGCCACTCCAGAAGGCGTATTCTGTGCTGTTGCAGCCATTGTTTTGTTGAATTACTTGTATGCTTTGGGTCATTGTCCTGTTGCATCACCCATCCTCTGCGGAGCTTCAGTTGGCGGACAGATGGTCGTACGTTTTCCTGCAAAATGTCTTGATAAACTCTGGAATTCATTTTCCCATCAATGACAACAATCCGTCCAGGCCCTGAGGCAGCAAAGCAGCCCCAAACCATGATGCTCCCTCCACCATGTTTTACAGTGGGGATGAGGTTTTCATGTTGGTGTTCTGTGCCTTTTTTTCTCCACACATAGTGTTGTGTGTTCTTCCCAAACAACTCAATCTTGGTTTCATCTGTCCACAGTATATTTTGCCAGTAGTGCTGTGAACATCCAGGTGCTCTTTTGCAAACTTCAAACGTGCTGCAATATTCTTTTTGGACAGCAGTGGCTTCCTCTGTGGTGTCCTCCCATGTACTCCATTCTTGTTTAATGTTTTCCCTATTGTAGATGTGTCAACAAAAATGTTAGCATGTGCCAGAGATTTCTGTAGGTCTTTAGCTGACATTCTGGGATTCTTCTTTACCTCATGCAGCATTCTGCGCTGTGCTTTTTCAGTCATTTTTACAGGATGACCACGCCCATGGACAGTAGCAACAGTGATAAACTTTCTCCATTTGTAGACAGTCTGTCCGCATGGACCCATGAACATCAAGGCTTTTGGAGATACTTTTGTAACCCTGTCCAGCTTCATGCCAGTCAACAATTCTTGATCGTAGGTCTTCTGAGAGCTCTTTTCTGCGAGGCATGGTTCACATCAGACAGTGCTTCTTGAAACCAGTAAACCCAAAACAGGTGTGTGTTTTTTAAGGGCAGGACAACTGTGAGCAACACATCCAATATCATCACACTGATTGGAGTCAAGGTTGGCTCACTCCTGGCTCCAATTAGCTCTGGGAGAAGTCATTAAGCTAGGGCCTCACATACTTTTTCCTCCCTGCACTGTGAATGTTTACATGTTATGTGCAATTAAACCATGGCAACATCTAATGTTTGTGTAGTATTATGTTCAGCAGACTGTGTTCTTCTGTTGTTGTGACTTAGATGGTGTTCAGAGCACATTTTATGCCCAATTCATGCAAAACTCCACGTAATCCCAAGGGGTTCACATACTTTTTCTTGCAACTGTATATATGTATATATATATATATATATATATATATATATATATATATATATATATATACACACACACACACACAATATATTGACAAAAGTATTGGGACATATTCCCCCTCCCCTCCAATATATACAGACCAAATAATATACAATGATTTGGATTATTTTCACCAGAGAACTGTAACAGACTACATTTTGGCCTAAATTTATGAAGAAATATTTTTTATTTGCAACATGTTAAAACAGAAACAAAGAAAACATGTTTTTTCACAATAATTGGTCTTTTTTTGTTTATTTAGCAAAAAATTAAAACCCCAGTGGTGATTAATCACTTTCTTTACGCGCTATAGCTGAATGACGGCTACAGCACATTCGTCCAGTTCTGAGAGGGCATCATACGACGTCCTACCGGAACGTTCCCTCAGCGGCGTGCACCCGGCGCTGTCTGTGATCACTGTGTCCTTTGGACACAGCTGATCACGACATAATAAAAGGCCAATCACAGTGGCCTTTTACCACGCCATCAGTTGTATCCAATCACAGACGGTCACCATGTAAATACACTTGCTGGTTATCGGTAGTACTTTCCTCACACTGTCCTTTCACCGGCAACTGTCAAAGGAGACATTTGCACTGATAACCAGGGCCTTGATTATCAAAACAGCCCTGAAAAGTGCCCATCAGTGCTGCCCATCAGTGCCCAGCAGTACTTTCCATCAGTGCCCAACAGTGCTGCCCATCAATGCTGCCAATCTGTGCCCATCAGTGCTATCAGTCAGTGCTGTCAGTCAGTGCTGCCAGTCCATGCCACTAGTCAGTGTCCTTCAGTACTACCTATTATTGCCCATCAGTGGCATCTATCAGTGCCGCATATCAGTACCTCAACAATGCCCACCAGTAGTGCCTCATCAGTGCAGCCTATCAGTGCCCATCAGTGATGAATATCAGTGCCACCTCATCAGTGTTGCCTATCATTGCAGCCTCATCAACGCACATCAGTGAAGGAAACAATTATCTCTGTTTGCTAAATTTTATAATAGAAGCAAAGAAAAAAATTTTTTTTTCAAAATTTTCTCTTTTTGTTTTAGTTTTTCTGGCACTCAGATATGTTCTCACTGACACCATACATTCCTTCACCCTTCTTGTTTTTATCTCCTTAGCACTAGCTGGATCACCCCTGGTCACAGAGGGGCTGCAGGTTTGTGACCATTCTTCTGAGTTTGATTCCCAAGATAATTATGGGATGAAGGGGCTGACGGGGTTGAGCAAGGCTACTATATGTTCTGTTAAATTCATAATGATGACTATGAAAAATCATGACAGATTCCAGCCCTTTAATCAAATGTTCAGCCAGCCTCTTAGTCAAATTCACTTCAGGAACATGATCATCCAGAGCCTCTTGAGTCAACAAATGTGACTCGTCTGAAGAACAGATGACTTCAAATATTGGGTTAGAATCAATGTTTTCCTTTTTATACTCTGAATATGCACCATCAGCTCAGCTAAGAGCGTCGTTATCGTGTCTGTCTGCAGACTAGACTCTGTCCTCCACTCCTGTAACTCAAGTGTAAAGGGTCCTAACTTGCTAGCAGAAGAACTCAGCCTCAAACCTGAACTGACTCTTCTCTTTACCATTCAGAAATAATTGCCAGTTACCCAAGTTACTTCTTCTCTACTCTTAGCTAGGTTCACACCTACATGCAGTTTGCGTTTGACCCGTTTCTGCATTGTGTTTTGCACCTGCATTTATTTCTTCTATTTTTCTTGTTGCTAGGCAGATTTAAAATGCATAACACATCAAAAACACACTACATGCTTTTCTGCAGCGTTTCCATTGAAGTCCTTAGAACCAAAAATTAAACTTTTTGCATTAAAAAATGTCCATGACCCCTTCCAAAAAAACACACTGGGTGAAAACACAAAGATGTGAACGTGTCTCATAGTAAATCATGTTAAATGGACTGTACTGCGTTTGTACAAAATGCTGAGGAAAACGCTTAGGTGTGAAACTAGGTTTACAGTGGAGTGTAGTGTGCGCACAGCTGCTTCAGGGAATTGTGACAACGTTGCCATCTTAATCAGATAATGCACCAGTTCGCCCAGATTTATTACAATTACAAATATTTAGGCATTTTCATGTTTATTTCTTTTGTTTGTAGTGGTATGAAACAAAAAAGTGCAGAAGCAAAAAGCCAAATCTGACACATTCAGAGCACAAATCCAAATTATTGCCACCCTCAATTTAACCTTCCTAGCAGTATGATAATTTTCAGATTTTTGGTGCTGAAAGTGGTACCATTATTTTGCATGGAAATATGTAGTTTTTTTATTGTAGGCTGTAATTTTTAGGAATAACTCACTGAAATCTGTCCGAACAAGAGTCCATTAAAACATCCAGGGTATGATAGAATTTGAAACACGAAATCATAAATTATAATTTAATAAATAATCACATAAGGTATGTGCTGTTATTTACTGAACTTTCTGCACAATCAACACATTTGAACGGTTTTATTTGCTATCTAACTTCTAGCCTGACATTATTACAAGTCATAAACTAATATAGAAAGCAACCTAATGAATTCTACTCAAGCTCAGATGTTTGCCCAAGATCTTTGCCATTGATCCCATCAAGTACAAGAACTGTGATCGATTTTATGGTGACTAGAGATGAGCGAATTATTCAAAAATTTGATTCGGCTGATTCGGCGAATTCGCGGAATAATTTCGATTCGAGTCGAATATATTCGCTGCGAATTTAACTTATAAAAAGGGTGTTTCTAGGCTTCAGAGAGCCTTTATATTAGTGCAGAACACTGTACCTTTAATTTAAATGCCCTTGGAGTCTGCTGGGGAACAGAAATAATACTGTCAGTCAGTATGACATGCAGATGAGTGCCGTCGATCTTAGAATCACCGCACACTTCACTCATTTGGGCAGTCACGGGGCCAAAACCAGAGTGTGGAGCTACAGTGTGGCGGTGGAGGCAGCAGCAATGGGAGGCCATACAGCACCCTATGACAAAATGGAACCCACCAGCAGTGTGAGGAGACCTGAAAGTGGCCACATGGCAGAGTGTGGCGATGGAGACAGCAGCAATGGGAGGCCGTACAGGGACCCATGACACACTCTGGACCTGGCAGCAGCATGAGGAGGCGGTACAGGGGTACAGGGGCCCATGACAGATTACGGGCCTGGCAGCAGCATGAGGAGTCGGTACGGGGGGCCCATGGCAGATTACGGGCCTGGCAGCAGCAATGGGAGGCCCGTAATCTGCCAGCACCTTATGACAAAATGGAACCCACCAGCAGTGTGAGGAGACCTGAAAGTTGCACATGGCAGAGTGTAGCGATGGAGACAGCAGCAATGGGAGGCCGTACAGGGACCCATGACACACTCTGGACCTGGCAGCAGCATGAGGAGGCGGTACAGGGGCCCATGACAGATTACGGGCCTGGCAGCAGCAATGGGAGGCCCGTAATCTGCCAGCACCCTATGACAAAATGGAAACCCACCAGCAGTGTGTGAGGAGACCTGAAAGTGGCACATGGCAGAGTGTGGCGATGGAGACAGCAGCAATGGGAGGCCGTACAGGGACCCATGACACACTCTGGACCTGGCAGCAGCATGAGGAGGCGGTACAGGGGCCCATGACAGATTACGGGCCTGGCAGCAGCATGAGGAGTCGGTACGGGGGTCCCATGGCAGATTACGGGCCTGGCAGATGACGACGAGGGGTGCCAAGTGCGATCAGCCTCATTCATCATCAATTAGGGTCTCCGCCTCACTACTAGCCCCCTCGGCTGCGGCTGCGTGTGGGTCAGGAGACAGACCTGTCTCTAGACCGGCTACCGAGCCACTCTCCTCGCCACTACTTCTTCGCCTGGCTGCTGAAGAGGCGGATGTCTCCCCCCGTTCCTGACCGCCCTCTGTTAGCTCTTCCTCACTGTACAGTGGGGCTGAGCCCACAGCATGCGATACTTTGCTTGGTGGGGAACACCAAAGGACAGGGGCAGGTAGAGGACACGTGATTTCAGTGGGCTTGCTCCCGGGCCATGCCAACTAACGGTTGTGTCTGACGTACCCACCGACCGTTGGCTGTAGGTGTCAGAGGTGACCTGGGAGGAGGAAGACGACCGAGCCAACCAATCGATGACGGCAGGGTTGTCGGTGGGAGACACGACCGCTGGATGACACCGGGAGCACTGGCCTTGGCTGCGAATAGTGCTGCCTCGACCCCTTCCTCTGCTGCCCATGTCTGCTCGCTCCTAAAACATTGCCTCCTCTGCCTCTCCTCTGCATGTTGTCTGACTTACTCTTTAATTAAACGATTCTGTGTCCCTGAGTAACAATTCTGTGTCTGTCCCTGAGTAACAAATTATGTGTCCCTGAGTAACGTTTCTGTGTGCGCCCTAAGTAACAGTTCTGTGGCCCTCAGTAACAATTCTGTGTCCCTCAGTAACAATTCTGTGTCCCTCAGTAACAATTCTGTGTCCCTCAGTAACAATTCTGTGTCTGTCCCTGAGTAACAATTTCTGTGTCTGTCCTGAGTGTAAACAATTCTGTGTCCCTGAGTAACAATTCTGTGTCCCTCAGTAACAATTCTGTGTCCCTGAGTAACAATTCTGTGTCCCTCAGTAACAATTCTGTGTCCCTGAGTAAACAATTTCTTTGGCTGTCTGTACGTCCCTGAGTAACAATTCTGTGTCCCCTAAGTATCATTTCATGTGGCTCTAATGCAACGGTTCTGTGGCCCTCAGTAACAAATCTGTGTCCCTCAGTAACAATTCTGTGTCTGTCCCTGAGTAACAATTCTGTGTCCCTAAGTAACGTTTCTGTGGCCCTAAGTAACGTTTCTGTTGCCCTAAGTAAGTACGATTCTGTGGCCCTAAGTAACGTTTTCTGTAGCCCTAAGTAATGTTTCTGTGTCCCTCAGTAACAATTCTGTATCCCTCAGTAAACAATTCTGTGTCTGTCCCTGAGTAACCAATTCTGTGTCCCGAAGTAACGTTTCTGTGGCCCTAAGTAAAGTAAACGGGTTCTTGTGGCCCTCAGTAACAATTCACTGTGTCCCTCAGTAACAATTCTGTGTCTGTCCCTAAGTAACAATTCTGTGGCCCTTAAGTAAAGTTTCTGTGGCCCTAAGTAACGTTTCTGTGGCCCTAAGTAATGATTCTGTGGCCCTAAGTAACGTTTCTGTGGCCCTAAGTAACGTTTCTGTGGCCCTCAGTAACAAATCTGTGTCCCTCAGTAACAATTCTGTGTCTGTCCCTAAGTAACAATTTCTGTAGCCTAAGTAACGTTTCTGTGGCCCCTAAGTAACGGTTCTGTGGCCCTCAGTAACAATTCTGTATCCCTCAGTAACAATTCTGTGTCTGTCCCTGAGTAACAATTCTGTGGCCCTAAGTAACGATTCTGTGGCCCTAGTAACGATTCTGTGGCCCTCAGTAACAATTCTGTATCCCCTCAGTAACAATTCTGTGTCTGTCCCTGAGTAACAATTCTGTGTCCCTATGTAACGTTTCTGTGGACCCCTAACTAACGATTCTGTGGCCCTAAGTAATGTTTCTGTGGCCCTAAGTAAACGTTTCTGTGGCCCTCATAGTAACAAATCTGTGTGTCCCTCAGTAACAATTCTGTTTCTGTCTGTCCCTATGTAACAATTCTGTGGCCCTAAGTAACGTTTCTGTGGACCTCTAAAGTATAACGGTTTCTGTGAGACCTCAAGTAACAATTCTTGTGTCCCTCAAATAAACAATTCCTGTGTCTGTCAAATAAGTTAACAATTCCTTGTGGCCCCTAAGTTACGTTGATCTGTGGGCCCTAAGTAACGTTTTTCTGGTTGCCATAAGTAACAAATCTGTGGCCTCTCAGTAACAAATCTGTGTCCCTCAGTGAAAACTAATTCTTCTGGTCCTGTCCCATATAGTAACCATTTCTGTGGCACTAAGTAAACTGCTTTCTGTGTCCCTCAAGTTAACGATAGTCTTGTGTTCCACTCAGTAACGAATTCTGTGTTTCCCTGAGTAACGATTCTGTGTCCCTGAGTAACGATTCTGTGTCACTCAGTAACGTTTCTGTGTCCTTCAGTGATCGATTCTGTTGTCCCTCATGTAACACATTCCTGTGTCCTCTGAGTAACAATACTGTGTCCCTGAGATAACAATCGTGTGTCTGTCCCTGAGTAACAATTCTGTTTCTGTCCTAGTAACGATTCTGGGTCCCTGAGTAACGATTCTGTGTCCGCTCAGTAACGATGTCTGATTCCCTCAGTAACAATCTGTGGTCCATCAGTAACAGTATTCTGTGTCCCTAGAGTAGACGAATTCTGTGTCCCTGAGTAACAATCTGTGTCCCTGAGTAACAATTCTGTGTCTGTCCCTGATAACGATTCTGTTGTCCCTGAGTAACGATTCAGTGTGTCCTATACAGTTAACAATTCTGTGTCCACGCAGTAACAATTCTGTGTCCCTTAGTACAAATTCTGTGTACCTGAAGTAACAATATCGTGGGTCCCTATTTAACAATTCTGTTTTTCTCTCCGGGTGAAAAACGATTTCGGTGTCCCTGGGGGGTAACATTCTTTTGTCCCTCAGTAATTTTTTCTGTGTCCCCCCAAAAAAACAATTCGTGTCCCTGGGGAAAAATTTTCGTGACCCTAGTAAAAAATTTTTGGTGTCGTCCCTGAAAAAACAATTCTGTTTCCCCCTAAAGTAACGATTCTGTGTTCCCTGGGGTAAAAAATTTCTGTGTCCCCTGAGTAAAAAATTCGGGGGTTTGCCCCTGAGTAACAAATTCTGTGTCCCTCAGTAAACAATTCTGTGTCCCTGGTAACAAATTCTGTGTCCCTGAGAAACCCCAAATTCCCTTGTGTCTGTCCCTGATTTAACAATTCTGTGTCCCGGGATTTAACAATTCTGTGTCCCTCATAACGATTTGTGTCCCCAGAAACCCAATTTCTGTGTCCTGAGTAAAAATTCTGTGTCCCTGAGTAAAAAAATTTGGTCTGACCCTGAGTAACAATTCTGGCCCCGAGTACAAATTCTGGGGTGCCCCTAAGTAACAAATTCTGTTTTTCCCTAAGAAACGTATTGTGGCCCAAAAAGTCTCTTTTGGCCCTAAAAACAGCGGGTCGTCACTCTTAAAAATGACCGGAGGTTTAAATGGAAAAATTGAAAGTTTGGCCCCCAATTTTTTTAGCCTCCCCCCATTTCAAAAGGGGCTGGGGGCTGGGTGCTGTTTGGCAAATTTGCGTTTTAAAATGTCAGGAAAGAATGCTTTTGGGGGTTTTCAGCGCGCCTTGTCTGCGCCCCCCCCTTCCCAGGGGACCCCCGCTCTGTCCCCCACACATGTCCCCCGGCCATTTTTGGGAAAATTCGATTGGTGCATTTCCAAGTTTTCTAATTTTCGGATTCGGGGGCCCAAAAACCGAAAATTTTTTTTTTTATTTCGAAAACGAAAATTCCCCCTTCGCCCTTTTTCGATTCGCTCATCTCCCAATGGTGGGACCGGAAAAGGGTTTTGCCAAAAATTTGAGAAAAGCCCACAAGCTTTATGTGAAAGATTTAAAGCCCTTCCCCTTTCTTTGGGTCTGCATCTCAGTAGGTTTTAAAATCTTCATCTCATTACTGCTGGGAAAAACCCCCAGGGGCTAGGCCCTTTAGCTTGGGAAATAAAACTACCCAGCCCTTTTTGGGGTAAAAAAAGTAAAACCCCCTTTTTATGAAGGCCCCTGAGGTTGCCAAAAATGATCAGATCATGCTGCTTTTTGCTGACTCAACCCCTACATAAAATTACACAAGGTTCAAACACCCGAAAAATTTTCTTTATTTTCAAAAGGGTGGCCCCTTTTGGATAGAGGGAGAATTTGGGTAGGGCCTGGGCCCCACCCAATTTAAAAACCAATTTTAAGTAGGGGTTTTTTAGGCAATTAAGGATGCGAGCAATTTCCCCCCTGAGGGCCACTGAATTTTTGGGGCCCCTTAAGTTCTTTCACAAACCCGGCAACACTAACCCTTTTCCCCCTTTAAACCCGAGTCATAAAACAGCTGTTTTTTTGTTTTTAAATTTGGGGGGAAAAACTTGGAGGGGGCCCAGCAGATGCCCAAGAAACTGTAAAAACTAGAGGAAAAATTCTTAGGGAAAATTTTTGTCAAAATGTTGATCAAAAATCAGCAAACCGTCCTTTTTAATTCCTGGGAAACCCCTTTGGGGTGTTTTCCCCAGACCCCGAAAGAAAACTCTCCCCATCCCCTGCCCTTTTTGAGGGGGATCCTAGGCAAGGGATTTCCCGAAATTTCCCTTGTGAAGCAGGGCCCAGATGAGGACTAGTTTGGGGATTTTCACCTGAAGGCCCCTCCTTTTGTGGGCCCCGGGGTGTTAAATAATTTAATGGGGCCGGGGGTTTTTTCTTAAAAGGTTTGCAAACCCTTTCAGGCCT